CATCCTTGACCAGATTTTGAAACAAATTGTTATGGACATGCATCCTAACATGTATAAAGTACATGTATGTGCCAAATTTTAATGAAAACTGACAGAGCACTTCCAAGATACCGCATAAAAAAAAAACACAAGATGCCTGCCAGTCGACCATCTTTGATTCAATTGCGAAATAAATTGTACTGGACATGTAACCTAACATGTATAATCTATGTACCAAGTTTGAATGACAACTGACAAAGCATGTCGAAAATACAACATTTTCAAAAAACAAGATGGCTGCCAGTCGGCCATTTTGAATTGAATCGCTAAACCACTGCATGTGCTTATCCCAGATAAAGTACTAGGCACATGCAAAGAATGAACGGAATCGGTCCAAGGGATTCTGAGATATGACTCCGGACAGACACACAGACACACGGACGGAGACCGAATTATAAGTCCCCGTTTTCGGACTTTGTTCAAACGGGGACTAAAAATGACAAAATCTGCCGGGAAATCGCCTGTATTTGCACCACTGCATATCTGTAGTTAAACAATGCATGATAAAAAGGTTATTACAAGACAACCCATGATATCGCACTCTTTACAGGACAATATCACAGGTCTGTCAAGTAATAATCTCAAACTTGCAGCTTTTTTAACAATTTTCTGTGAGATGAGATAAGATTATACAAAACATACTTTTGAAAAAGAAAATAGAACAGACTACTAGTACTTGGATCTTTAATATAATATTAACTGTTACAGTTGTAGGATTACCCTATAAGATATGCAGTGTTTTACTCATTAAATGTCATGCCACTAATGCCTAGCTACAATGCTAGCAATATCTCATCATGGTTTGCTATTGACCATAAATTTGATTGGTTGAATGAAAATGCTGTCTCTGTAAACATTGTCAATCATCTCAATCATAGATTTAATTGGTTGTAAACAGTTTTAATCATCTGAAATCATGTGTTTATACAGTATTTAGGCTGTCATCCTTCAAAGACGGGAATGCCACATAGAAGCGTGTGTAAAGGATGCATAAATCTGCATGGATAAAATAAGATATATCTGCCTTGTACATAGGCATTAGTGGAGTGGCTTATCACAAGTGGAACACCACATGGATACTAGGCTAAAAGGAAGACTCTCACACTCTTGGTAAATTACAATGCTGTATAATTCATCATGAACGGTAATACTGGAGTACATCTTCATCAACAGTCTTTAAGATAACCTTATCTTTAAGATTAACAATCCAGCCTGGTTCAAGTCCAAAAAAGATCTGTCTTGGATCTTTCCGCTCCATTAACATCTCGTACAATGGATTTTTACTGATGTCAGGCAGGACATAACCATATTTTTGTGCTAGTTTATATCTCTCCTCAGAAATCTTCTCTGGATCGGCTAAGTACCCTCGATTTTCGGCAGCAGTGTAGTAAGGAACAGCGTCTTCAGGTGGAAGCAATCGTCGGGGAATCGGTTTGCCAGTTTGGAAAAAACGGAGTGGATATGCAAGAGCATTGACACTCAATAAATCATAGAATGCTGTGGTTATAACACCTCCTCTTCTTTCTACGGCAGCTATACTAGCTTCGGAAGCCCACTGAACTTCAATATTGACCTTAGCATCAAATATATCGGCACCCTGAAAAATTTCAAATTTTACATTAATTAAAAAATACATGTTATGAGCATCAAATATTGTAAACACAATAATAATTTGCTGGTATTGTGGATATAATTTAGCATATTTCATCTATCATCAAAAATGATATTGAAAACCCAATTAATAATTAATGCATTTACAGTACTTGGTAATGATGAAGCAGGCTTTTAATCGTTTGAATACTAAAGTCAGCTTTTTCACATTTCACAACTAAACCCGCATAATTTTTCAAATATTTTGATAAAGACCTGCAGGGGGAACTTATGTACATCTGGCCCAAAATAAAAAGAAAAATTAAAGGAAAAAAAATTTAAAATGTGCTTAAAGTCGCACAAAGATTTGCAGAAATATGAAGGCATTTAAATAGTTAAAGGTCCACGTCATTTTTCAGATTAAATAAGAAGACAATATACACACAGCACCTCTTCTCGTAACTGTATTCCATACTGCTTTTTGTATATGTCAATATCAATAGCTCTGGCATTACAAAGTGAGGTTACATCTATCGGTTTGGATGGGTCCAATCTGCCAACATCTATCAGGTGTTGGATCTTCTCCAGACTAATTGGCTGATACTCTCGTTTCCTCCTGACAACAACAAAAACACATGCAGTAGATAATATTTATTCAATCTGATACAAAATGATTATTAAAATCTTTTCAAACATGAATAATTTGATCATTAGATTGTGCAACCCTGTCTGTCTATTTCATGGTTCAGTGCAATCTTTCATGTTGTACTAAGCGGCGTTAATGTGAACACCAGTTTGACGAGATAAAATATACAGAGTCTGCATGCACAATAGGCAAAGCTTGGTTACTGGAAACAGTGATTTACTTACGAGTGCCCTTCGTTGTATGGATACTTTGGAATCAATAAATAGAATGGTGTGGCTCCTCCCTCAAATCCAATTCTTGGTAATGTTCCTCTTTGGTGCTGACCTTTATGACCTTTTCCACACTTTTTGCCCTTTGCACCACCACGTCGACGGAGAGGCTGCAGAGAAACCAATATTATACGTATATTAGCGTTAGACTGTTGACAGTTCTCAAGCCTAATAAAGAGTGAATTATTCGATTATTCAACGCTGTAGGTGTTTTAACGAAATGTCGAAGGCATTTCAAGTGAGGACCGTAAGGCCTGAGAGACTGTTATAGCATATAACGCCCTCATGCGACATTACGTGGAAATTAAAATACTACTACTTCCCGTTTATTGGTGACCCGTTTCGCTCATGATTGGTTGATCGGTGTATGACATAGTTTGAGGAACGTCACCGGGCAATTTCCACATAATGCCGCATGAGGGCATTACATGCTATAATAGTCTCTCGGGCCTTACATCTCGCGCTTGAAATGCTTTTGGCATTTCGTTAAAACTCTTTATTAGGCCAGAGAACTGTCGACAGTCTAATTAGCGTAAACAAGGATCTATAAGGTAAGTGTATGCAACCAGTTTGATATGCATTGATCCTAATTGCAAGACGATAACAAAATCACAAGACAGACAGATATCTCTGAAAATACAATGTAACAAATGGGTAAGTCTGTGGTTAGTGTTCATTTCAGACTGTGATTTTAATATCCCTGCATATTTGCAGTGTATGTATTGGATGAGAAAGACAAACTTGCTCATTTTAGTTTCAAACTAGAATGCAGTTGACAGTTGGGTTGATGTATATATACAACTTGACATGTGTGGAATAGAAGTCACTATACTGTACTGTCAGTATCGTCCAGACCAATACTACTCCTTCTGACGTTGGTATTTGTATGGTACAAACCATTTTTCCACTGAAATAGCAATTTTTTTACTCTTAAATAACCCATTTGGTTGATTTAATTCCCCTGAAGGAATAGTGTTGGTTTAAGTTTTTATGTTTTTTGCTTGCGTTGATTTGTTGATATGGATCACATGCGATGTATAAAATGTGTAAAGTACACTGTTTTGTTTTTTGCTTGCGTTGATTTGTTGATATGGATCACACGCGATGTATAAAATGTGTAAAGTACACTGTTTTGTTTTTTTACACAAAATATGAGTACGGACTGCAGAACCACCACCTCCGTTTATAGACGACTTATCAATGAGTATTCTGGTTCAACCACACAAACTATATATGTACATAGCTTGTATTGTGTGTATATTGGAAACAAAACGACAGCAAGGCATTTTTCCCCAAAACAGAGAATCTCCAAAAAGTAAGAATTTACCAGATCGAAACAAATCTACCGGTAGGTCTCATTCCGGAGACATTTATTAATTATCAAAGGATACAGAGTTTATAAGATCCGTGCTTATTTTAGAACAATCAAAATGGATATATTTTTTTCATACAAGGGAAGAAAATAAGGGAAAATGTTATTTTAACCTACTTTGCTCACACCTAGATTTTTTTATGGATACTAAAGTCTCCTGATTAAGGAATAATCATAGCCCGGAATCAGCCATTCAGAGTTCCCTTCCCGTTGCTCTCAAGATTAGATTCAAAGTTTCACCATGATAGACGGCATCTAGTCTAAGACAATCTAATTTTTAGTGAAACACGCTCAACTCACATCAAAACGCCAAATGCTCTATTTGAGCGATAAATTATGTTTTCCCTACCTCTCGATTTGCACCTTTGTTATCGCGGATATTTGTGAGTGCCACACGGGGCATGCTGCGAATAATCTCAAAAGCACGTCGACTGCCACTGCACGCCGCCATGTTTACTGATGACCTCTCCACCCTAGTTAACAACGATAGTTTTTCAATTCTCCACACAAGATGGCGCTCGTATAAAGATGGGTAGACCGTCTAAAAACACCCACCGTAGCGATGCCTGTCCTGTGATTATCAATGTGGTTTGTACTAACAAATATTGTTTGGTGAAATTAAAATTTGGTCAATGTTACCAGTACACAGACGTCTGTGCGTATGCTCCATGCATTCTGAAAACGTACATTTTTTTATTAAATGTTTTTCTTTTCTTCTTATTTTCAAATTGCTGAACAGTTTGGTGTTTTGCTGGGTTGGTAGTCTAAAGTCTAAAGTAAACTCAACTTTGGATATACACCTACTATAGCACAGCACCTACTTATGTGTATGAATGGTTGAAACAAGGAAATAAGCAAATTTATCAACCAGGTGATGACAGCGACTACTAAGTCGGTGAATATTTTGTAACATAGTTGTCCATATGTATAGAAATTGTCGTTCACCAGACTCGGACATATTTGACATATTTGGCATTCTGATCACACAAAAGGTACTTTTCAAAAGAAAATACAGCATACTCTTGAGAATTTCATAGGGTCCAAAATAATAAGCCCAAATGTGTTAGCAAAGGTCATTGTTATTTCTCCGAGGTAGAAGAAAAAACATTCACCGATTATTTATTTATTTATTTATTTATTTATTTATTTATTTATTTATTTATTTATTTATTTATTTATTTATTTATTTATTTATTTATTTATTTATTTATTTATTTATTTATTTATTTATTTATTTATTTATTTATTTATTTATTTATTTATTTATTTATTTATTTGTTTGTTTGTTTATTTATTTATTTTATTGTGTGTTTATTAATTTGTTCATTTTCAAAAGATATGCTTCGCATAGTGCAAAGTGTTACTATTGTTATTTCTATTAGTGAGCTAACGCCACTTTTAGACCAGTTCTCACCAGTTCCTACGAACAACGCTTTATCAAAATCGTCCTGATATCCCCTTGAGCAGGTTCATTGTCACAGAAACGGCGGTGTGATTAAAGGGTGGCTTTACAGCCTACGGTTGCTATGCGGTATCATGTTTTCCGTCAAGGCGTCAAGTCTTTAATTTTGTCGCAACGTGGCCAATCTTTGCAGAATAATTGCAACGACTGTTGTCCAACAGAGCTGAAACTTTTGTCCCAGGCCGCCATTAAAACAAAACAAATGTATCTAATGTGCCAATGGGCTTAGCAAGCGTGGCCTCGGCGCCAAAAAGAGAAGTGGTTTGGTACACATGTACATATTATTGGTACTAATAATTAAAATAGAGTAGACAAGATCTGGTGTATACGCCATTGTCATATATATACAAATTCATAACATATATTTTTTTTTAATTTACAGAAGTATTAATTTTGTAATAATATATAATAGCATTAAAGGGCGTTGTTAAAGGGCGGTGGTCGTCGTGCCGCGTCCTGTTCGATATGGAACTCATTGCGACGTATACAACGCGTGTAAAATACATTGTTTATTTACATGAAATTCGAACACGCGCTGCGCAACGACCACCGCGCTTTAAACTTGAACATCAGAAATACTACTATTTTGAGAACATAAGTAAACTTCACATATCGCTATAGTAATCATAAATGTGATATTTATCGTTTATCTGTTTTGAAAGTATTACTCATTACATAAACACATTGAAATTTGTACAATTCAATATTTATCAGACCTCAAATATGAAATACAAATATCATTTATTAACATTTATACTATGGGGAAGAAATAAGTTTTATAGTACAGTTACCTGTGTAAAGTTGATATATTGAGTTATATAGTACACCTACCATTGTAATGAGTCGTTTTATTAATACAGGTTTACGTGAAGAAAGAACAATACTTCCAGCATATCGGTCTTTTTCTCATATATTTTAGGGTCATATATTCCACATATTCTAGAAAGTTGTCGAATTTTAGGAATATTTAAGTTCTCTTCAAGTTTGTCTAATTTGTGAATGGTGACTGTTGTTGAACTTGCCAGATATGAATCACTGAACCTACAATTAACTGACATACAGGGTCGCGGTGTGACACAATTGAAAGAAATAAGTAACGCCCGGAGCCAACAAAACAAAATGGCGACTATCGATGCCGGGCCCCATTAGAGTGACACAATAGAAACGACGTGATATTACTCCCCGTTGGTGTCGTCAAGTCCCATGTTGTTTTGTTTCCTTGACAGACGACGGTTGCTGAAACAATGATGTGATTTTTACGAATCAGTCCGACACGTATTAATTTCAGAATGTTTTAAATCACGTTTGTGTATGTGTATACCATTACTGATGGATAGCGCTTGATTAGAGGTGACATTTGATACGCATAGCACTCACATTTCCACTACAACCAAGTCGTTTTACCATTTTAATTTCCCCTTCGCTGGAAATATCGGTAACCCAATAGTTACACGAAAAATGATTTGACAGACAAAAGCAAGTAAATTCATCACTTCTCGTCCGTTTCTAAGGTAGCTACTTCCTGAAATTTGGGATGTTTTTCAGGTCCAGGTTTTTCAAGTGCGCATATTATTTTCACATTGACCATTTTCAATTTGTATGTGTTCTGTTTTGTTGAACATTAACGCAACCGAAGAACAGAAATACATTTTGCCAGCATTTTAGCGGGGAGAAATCATTCTGTGAAAGTCTACACCCGGATCAGACGAACTTTGTCACATGACGTCAACGCCGGTTTCATAATCGCACCAAATTTGGACATGCGCAACAATTTCACCCAAACAGCGCGTCAGGGTGACGTCACATTACACCTTTACCGTCAAACTGGTGGTATACGTGGTACACGCGTTTCTCACGAAGCTCACATGGCTGACACGCGTACAACATACTCACATAACATACTCAGAGCATTCGATCTCACGTCTTCAAATTATTCGCCGCTGTTGCTTCAAGGGGCAAAAATACGAACACCGTTTATAGTGCATACGAGTCGAAAGCGGCGTTTATAAACTCGATTCTCAAAAAATGTATACAGCTCTAGGTATTAAATTGACAAAAAAAAACAAACAAAAAAAACACGTAAACTGAAGCAAAGTTCCCGAAGCTATTTAATTTGTAGCTATTTAATTTGCCGAGCGCTATAGAACTACTATACCGGTGTTTGACAGGGAAAATGTTTTATTTTTTGTGGATATTATGATCAATCAGCTTTTGGCAATATACCCGAATAATACAAAAATGAAGCTAATGAGGAGTGGAATTAGAAAATCTGAGAGGGGTGGTGGCAGAAAATCTGCGAGGAGTGGTGGCAGAAAATTTGTGAGGGGTGATGGCAGAAAATCTGCACGAATTAATATTGATTTTCACCTAGTTTTATAAGTTCGATTTTTATTTAACTCGAGGATTATGTTTATTTTTGCTTTCCTATATGTGAGTGTTTTTTTCTGTTTTTTTTTTACTTCTTCGCAGATAGATTTGTTTTTCAAATTTGTAACTGGGTATTCTTTTAAATCCTGCTAGAATTCCTAATGGAGTTGTTTACAGTTCCTGTTGGTACAATCACACTGTGTAGCGAAGCAGTGATATCCCGTGGCTTGCGAGGGGATCATAGTACTTGTTGGCTTACAATACAACTTCGGGTCCAATACAAACAATTTCAGAAATTTTGTAAAAGTCGTTTAAAATACGTGCAGTAAGGTAAGAATCCCGTAAAGTCGAAATTTCCCGTGTTATTGTTGTTGTAAACGTGTCGGCAATAAAAAAAAACTGATTTACTTGTTACAATATCGTAACATAGTCACATTCACAAACCCGGATTCATTTTTTTCTTAACGAGTACGCGTAAGTGTAAGATTGTTGTTTCCACAAGGACGAAGATTTTTCTGGATTCCAGCAAAGGTAAACGTTTGACTATTCAAGCAAAGAACCTATGAAACATATGACATTTTATGATTTAAGTGGAAGGTCGGCTGGTCACTCATTCCCCTCCCCCGACAAACTGGTGCAGTTGAGTCGAAGCATTTGTACAAGGCAGAATTTGATACGACGAAAAAAATAACCGTGTATCAAAAAAAAAGTTACTAGTTGGCCGAAGGCCAAGTTTGCGAGCGCCGATGGCTTCGCGCCCTGTTGGTTGTTAAAAATAGGGGGCGCGGCCCCCTTCGACCCCTGTAAATCCGCCCATGCTTAACTTACCAACAAATATTAATCGATCGACTGACTCACATTCAGTTTACCAAAAGATAATTTA